TCCTAAGAGCGTCGTAGATGACTGAGTACTACGTCTCAAGATTCAGATAGATTCATGCATATGGTCCTTTCCAAATCCTGAAACGCCTAAAAAACATCTGCTTGCCTGGAAAGTCACCTAAACTCAGAAGTTACACCTTCCCACCATCTCTGCGTAGAAGCGTAATGCACGGCGCACACTCGGACCAAATCGATCAATGATAACGAAGCTCTTCTTTCACTCATTTGAGCGGGAATATGTGTTTTGAAGGCATATTGGAGTTCTTGAATGAGTATCCTCATGATGGCACGGAAGGAGTCCACTTTTGAGTGGTCGAGAGGAGAGGGTAGCGCGTCGGTAACCCATCTAAAATATCTCCTAAACTAGCGGGTCTTCATAGCTGGACCCGGAGCTCATTGGAAAGAGAAAAAATAGGAGGCTTCCAGGAGGGTTTTGGTCCTGATGAAATTGCGTTCGAAATAAGTAATCCTCGTGTGAAGCATAAAAACCCCGCTTGCCATTTACCCCTAGCCGATCCGAAACCCATCCGAAATATTTCACGAACGGGGAAACATTCAGATTGCAGCTGGGTAGAAAACGCAACAGTAGGAACATTGCCTTTGCATGCTGCTAACCATTCATCAAAAGCCGCGCACCTCAAAGAGATATAACCTCCTGAAAAGACCCCAGGACGTGGCTGGTCCAACAACCGCGCTCCAATGACGATTTCCATTGAGAGCGGTCGCAACGTTGCGATCGATAATAGCCGAGTACAGATCAATGTAGCCCCCCACGTGATCCAATCTTTTCATAAATTTCGCGTATTTTTTGTTTTTTTTCTTCATGTTTCGCTTTGTTGTGTCGTGCATGTTTTCACGATTAGGGGATGACTTCTATCAGAAGAGCAGCGACTTCTATCAGAACAGCAGTGTTCAATTTCCCCGTCACCACCCGCTGATTGCACATCTGGGGCCTGACACATTTACTAGTGGGCTATTTTTTCAACTTTACTTATCAATGATCACCATTGTTTGCTGTTTTATTATTGGTCCTTATTGTAACTGCTGCACCGTTGGAGGCCCTAAAAAAAAAGTCATTCCGGGGCCGATTCACACAAGTAGAGTGTGGGGGGGAGGCGAAGTTTTCAGCAAGCCGGCAGACAGAGGAAATCGATATGAACACCAGGACGCAAAGAATTACCAATGATGCTTCCTCTATAGGCTGGAGCACGCTGCCGCCAATCGCCTTCATGTACGCCAAAATATGAAGTCATCTCCAGTCGCGGCCTGACTGGAGAACACCTTTGGAATTCACGTCGCCTCCAAACAGCTGCGAAACTTCTTGAATGAAATCATCCACAGATAGCTACCTGGAGGTCAGTACTCTTGATCTGCAAGACCCCCCCACATCGAGCGGCTACGGCAACGTCGCTACGGTCTAGGACATCATCTTCACCGTATTCGCTCCGAGGCGCGAGTTGATGGTATGGACCGGGGTACCTGGAAAGGGGAAGACCGATATTTTCTTTGTAGACCCCGACTGAAGGTGAGCGCTGGCGGTTACATCAAGTAACTCGAGAAGGATATCCTCTCGCTAGCTGTTCGCCCGTACCTTCTTGGAGACCTTCGTCTGCTAGTCCGGTTGGGTGCTCATCTACATTTGAATCAAAAGTTTTGCAAAAACACCACTGCCCGCCTACTCGGAATGGAAGAACTTAGTTACCTGGAAAGATCTAGCTAATTTAAGCGGGGTCCCTTGAACTAAACCCCACTCAATTACTCGTTTCGGAGCGAGCTCAACAGTGTCTTCATGCGAGAATCAACGATCCTCGCTCACTGCGGTAACCACTCACTTTCGCGCGGCCGAATCTCCCGATGGCGCTCCTCCAGAAGGCTGTGACGGAGTACCGTTATAGTATTTAATGTGCTCTTTAATATGGTAGTAAAAATGTCCGATAAAAATTTAATAAAGTGTAACTTATAGCGCCTTGAAAGTCATGGAGGCAAAATGACTTTTTTTTGGCCCCCCTGTATAGTGCTCGAAGCCGACTTCTTCATTTTTGAAACCCTAAAACAAAATTGTTGGCCAAAAGAGGCAACAACAGCCTCATATTGCCTACAATTTTGAAGCGAAGTCCGCATTGCAAGATCCCCGATTCCATTTCAGGAAGCCATTCAGTATGAACAAACATATGGTTGTCAGTTAGAGCAGGAGGGGGGGGGATCGTACTTAGCCACCATTTCGCACATCCCCATGCTGTAGCCTAGCCTGCAGAACATTCCACCTTTCCACTACCCACATCCACCTTTCACCACCTTCCAATGTCATTTCCTCGCCCTTTCGCATGAGGAATGCGGTATAATTCTACACCTTTAGACATGCTCACCTCTTACTTGGCATGAATCTCACTCGCAAATAATCGTTCAGCTTGCTTTGAAGAGAGATTAGCAAGAGAGCTTTTCGTTTCTACCTTTGTTCTCTGTTGATCGCTCTAGAACACTTCCTTCGTAACTCGCGCAGGAACCTGAGAATTTCGTATAACAGTCTGCTGAATTTTCTTGTGGTTTTATATCTGCTATAAGTCGCAGTTCCCGTTCCGAAAGTTACCACCAGAACGCTGAGTTATGGGCAAAAGTGTGATCCCAAGCGGGACTCCAACCAACACCTCACACTTCCCGGGCGAGTCCACAAAAGCGTAATAATCCTTCATGCAGTGCACATGCAGCAGCTTGATCCTTTTGATGATACTTATATTCTTCATAAAAGTCGATAGTATCCGTGAAAAAGTCAATTACTGTTGCTTGTCAAATATCCGTGTAAACCGCTCGCATTCTTCTCCTGTCTCTTTGTAATGTTACTTATCAGGTTTATCAGCCCTTTTCGGTTCCTGCCACCCACCAATAATGTTCCTGTCGTTTCTCCTGTACCATATCTTTGAGCCAACGTTCCACTGTTGCTATTACGTTCCACTGTTGCTTGACACGCACTGCGATGTTGCTGACCCTCCCTTCCTAACACCCCCTATGATATATTTACATCGCACTCCTCACCGAATCAAAGCAGCTGATGCTATATCATGTCCTCTAAGTGCTTCCTAACTTCCTCTTTTGTTCGTTCTGTTCTCTGATCTGGCTACAAAGATATGTTTTCAACCTATATTGCGCGAAAAACTTAATAACCCGCCAGATTAAGTGCTGACGAGACCTGCATATATCTTCACCGCCGAAGCCTGCTACCGATTCGTATTCTGCACCCCTGGAGCATCCCACGTTTTCATGCATGCGGCTTTTCATGCCCATCGCTTGCCTGAGAGTCCTGTCGGTTTTTGTCGGGTGTTTGAGGAGGCTATCAATTAGACGTGTTATGGTAGGGCTCGAATCTGACAACATGACATTTACCTTCACTGGTTCCCACAGGCATTTCGGGAGTATGGGGTCGTCTTTGGCGAATAGGAAAATCGTTGGCACTCGAATTTTGTGGAGATGTGGCAACGATTCGCAGGCAGTGTAGTATTCGTCGCGGTTTCGGAATCCAGCCACCCGACAAGTATAGACTTCGTCCATGGTTGCAATTGAGATGGTTGACCAGAGACGCTGAAATTGAGAACAGATTTTCATCGATACCCAAGCGGAAAAAATGTAACCACCTTTACTGCTTCAAAGTTGGCATATCCTCAAGCTCACCTACCTTCTCATCGATCGAACCACTAGCGACGTGAGGTGCAACCACCTGCTCATAATGACGTCGTAGAAGGCGTTTCACTTTGACGGTAAGGAAAAAAGTTATAAATGCAACGCGCACCATTCCCACCAGCGATATGGAACAGGCTTGTGGCATTATTATTCAAGGCCGAGAAGTATAATCGGCATCTTGTAAACGCAGCGGAGAGCAATGATTGGCAGGAACAGACTTTCAATTCTAGCGCATGTTTTTGGCTCACAAGAGAAGGTCTTAATAGTCCACTCAGGTCACTAGCAATGAAGTTTATGCCACCGCACGCGCTTCTTTCAAAGACGTTGCGAAAGGTTTCTCTCCCAACATGGTATCCTACACTTCTCTTCCTCCACAAGAAACGTTGGAAAGGCCATGGAAGTGAATTTGAACGAAAGCTAACGTTTTTGTTAATTTTCCAAGAGGCAGGTTCAGCGCTGGATACATGACGGTAGTTGTTTTGAATCCTGGACGCAGTTGTGCTTCTGAGTTTCTTAGGAATTTTTATGGTGTATGTGCGGAAGGCACTTTGATTAGACAACTTGGGTGACTTACCTTTTACTTTACGACCACCCTTATTCGCACGAGATAGATATTGCAGGAAGCCTCCAACGGACATTTCCATAATATTATTTCAAGTCTAATACAATTATGTAATGCATGAAAGTTGGTATCAGCGGGACACCTTAGTATACATTCTAGCGACACTGAAACCTCTCTACAATAATTGCCTCTCATTTGGTATGGCGGACACCCTGCAGCATGTGTAGGGAGTTCTCTACTTCCTCCCTGTATCTGTGGTATCTGTGAGAAATTGTACTGACAACTTTGTGAAAAGATGTCGTATGCAATGTATGTTCTTTCACGTTTTGTTGATTTCCTGCGCAACCAGTAATCATCATTGAAAATGAACGAACGCATGAATAACTAAGTTGGAGGGTCAGCTGCAATAAGAGTCCGAAACTACGCCCTCTCGTCGAAGAGTGTTCCCTGTGAGTTGAAGATAGCGAAATGAGTAAGGGATACCATTCTCGAGAATAGAAACTGGAGGATTACCATGCTGAAAAAAGCCCTTAGTATGTTTTTTTTTCCGGAGAATCGTTTCGTAAATCATGAAAGCAGATCTGACCATAGCACTCCAAGGCGCCTACAGCTGTGTTCATTTCAATGCAATGACTGGACTGATCTGTTGACCTTCCCTCGTCAGCAATTTCGCGCATTTAGACATCCAGAAGCTCGGAGAGAATTTCTGACTGAAATTTTTCCCACTGAAGCGCGTCATCCCTTTCCAACTCTGAATTTTAGGCAATTTTCCCTGCAACAAAGATCTCGATGGCTGCTGGACAGGACAACCGAAATCACCACATTCACTGAGTGAGCACATTCATTTCCTTAAAGAAGGGTGTTCACTAACTCGCTGACTCTAAATGGCAAGACTGGGCTTCGAATCAGCGTTTCATACCATATGAGCTGGTTTATTAGAACTATTTCGAGTTACTACTGGTGTTCCAAAGCCGAGTGAGAATCTAAAAGCACTGCTTCATAGAATATCGATCGTTTTCCTTTCATTTGTAAGTTTCAAGTGGAGAAGTTGTATGGCGGCAGCTGCACCCGAAACGTGAGTAAACAGCAAATTCATACAAAATAATTCTGCAGGACTGTAAACGAGGAAGAACTGAAAGCAACAGGAAACGACTCATTCACATCAGAGCTTTCATAATGAAGCCCTGCCATCATGCTCGAGGTCATAGGGCATGCATACGACCCTGATCAGTGGTGCCATGAGTGCTTTTTATTGATTTTGATTAGAGCGAAAAGACCTAAAGCGATTTGGTAGGTCAGCGGTAGTCAAAGCTTTCGGGATGAGCTCGTACGCTTAGGAAGACCTTGCTCCTCTGTACCATGCATGAAGGATAGCGGCGTTCGTTTGCGACCATCGCAGAAGCCGTCAGTTAATAAAATGTGGTAAGTGGGTAGTCCGAGGAGCAGCTGATTACATAACGATGTAGCTCTCGTATGCCTGAACGAAAAACGTCTATTCCAGATGTCTCTAGGTCCCCTGAAACACAGCAGGGCGATACCAAATTAATCACTTCAGCTTTTATAGAAAAGTCCGCTCACCGTAGGAGAAAATTCTGTTACTTGTCAATTTCACGTTTTGCAGATCACCCAAGTGATTTAAAAGTACGCATCGATATCTGAATAGAATCCATTTAAACTTACATGAGAACATCAGCCATTAGTATTAATGCAATATTTGAAGATTTGCTTGAAGTCAAGTTATTTTTCCTAAAATGTGAGATGCTTAAATTTCGTCGTTATGCCCCTGAAATAAATCTAGCTCTTGCCAAGCCCAACGACCCCTGCTCTAAAGCCGACAGCCCTATACAGTGCAAATTATGTTCAGAGGCTTGCTGTACAAAAAAGCCACGTAACCCTTCTATTCACCATTGGTCTAGCAAATCCACGTGTCTATAGACCGAGTCCGAATATTAGTATATGACTTATCATCCGACTAGCATCGTTCGCCCACAGCCTTCGCGGAGCGAGTTTGGCGTTTCCAATTGTATCGTCTGCAAAATTTCTCCCTCAGAAAGCCTTCTGAAGGGGTGTCCCTGGCGCCTAACTGCATACAGCGAGATCCATAAAGTGATAATCTTTCTCCGCCAACCCTGTAGCAGCCAGCGTCGCGTGATTGGACTAACGTAGCTGAAGCCGTCTGATTATGCAGTAGGTTGAAGAGGGCAGAGTCAGGTAACCCTGTAGACTATTCCCATGCGTTCAGGCTCTACTCAAGGCCTAAGTGCGCCTCCGGTATTCCTCAAAGGCACGTAACGATACAGCCTTTATCCTTTGCGAACAACCCCCGTTCATTCTCCGAATCTTTCCACTACGATATTGCTGTATGGCCGGCTCCACGCCAATCCTGTGAGCCTCCGTCGTTATACCCAGCCCAACCGATGCTCTCCAAGCAAGGAGGTATCAGCCGAAAGCGACCGTCGGAGAGTCGGATGGGGCCGTGGCAGGTATTTTGTGGTCTCGTTGAGAAGCTAGCGAATGTTTAGAAATCCCTCTCGCGCGTGAACCCGCGACTACTATGCAAACGGGTGTGTCTGGTTCCTCGAAGGATAATGTAGTCGCCCCTTTCAGTTCAGCCTAGCGTCTGCCGGTCACTCTTTTCAAGTCCCGCCTTTTGCGTGAGCCTCCCCGCCCCCTTTGTTTTCGCGATGCCGAGCGAAATGGCTGAAGGGGGTGTTATAGTGTACCAACCCCCTCGCTTCCGGCTCAAGTCCCTGTTCTTGTTCCGTCATCCACCTCGTCGCTGATCGGAGTTTCGCCACTGGCACGTGAAACGAGCGGATTGTAAATGGAAGATGCATCACATCCATGCATCGTTAGCGAGCTCACACTAGCTCGTCCCACAGGAGATAGCCGTAAATCCGTCCATGCCGCGCTCGCACATCCCTGCGTACCTAGAAAGCCATTGACAAGCAAACAATCGCCACCCGCTGCCTCTTTGAATGCGCAGGGGGAACGTTCAACCCAAATACGGAGATATGGGGGGCTCCCCCGTTTTTTTGTCCAGTCAGGCGTGCTGACCCTGGCACCGGATGATTTTTTATAGTGAGTGTTTGGCCAATGTTGAGGACCGATGAAGAGTTCGGGACATATAAGGCGGCTCTCCGAAGCTAGCACCCCAGTCGTCCCCTGAACTGCTGAATTGCACACCGCGAAACGTTGCTATAAGCCGTCTATGTCCCTCTGTTCGAACGCTCCTCGCGAATTCTTTGCCGTATTTGCAAACCCGGTCCATTCTGCTTTCGCCGGTGTGCACACCCCTAATGTTGCAGAACTTGAATCCACCTAAGCTCTCCATCCTCAGAAGGACTCTCAGAAGTCTTGCATTTCCCTCCAAATGTCTTGTGTCCTCATTTCCTGCTCCAGTGTCCCTCCGTCCCTCCTTCACTGAGCAGTGTTTTAAACGTTGCCCGCAACCCCAAATTTACAGCGAGAAAACCGAATTTGAAAATGTTTCCAGTTCCCACCGACTGTTTGGTTCCCCTCCTCCCTCCAAATATCTCCGGCAGGTGGCTCCCCCCGTCTATTGCTCACATTCTCTCCCGCTTACGCGAGCCCTGAAAAACGCCTGCTGCGACGCAGGTGGTAGAGACTAGGAAACTACCCCTCTCTTTTAGAAAACAGCTCCTCGAGTTGGGGCTGGCTGGTGGCCAGGACCGCCCTGAAGTGCCGCTACGAGTTGAGTGGGTACCCGGTTGGGTTAGGAGCGGCTCTCTGGCCACCCTTGCAACGCTACAGGGTTAAAGCCGCGCTGAATCTGCGCAGATCGTTGAGAAAGCAACTAGCTACGCGGACTTTGAATGTAGAGAGTCCAATAATCCGCCGTGCGGCACATCCAGTTTTGTAATTCAGTGCCAAAATCACTTATGTGTGTGGCGCTTTTTTCGTAGAACTTGATCTGATAGGTGACAGCTCCCAACGAGAGCCGTGATGATTCGCTAGTATATATCATGACCTCAACTACTCTTCAGCCTCTTCTAAGAGAACGACTTTCTTCCAACCTCGCTTCCACTATATCATGCCAGTACGTGGCCCTCTACACGCCATTGTTAGAGCACTGCTCTTACAACGATGCTAGAAAATGGAGAACAACTCAAGGGAGGAAACCGTCATGATTTCGTCGCAAAAACGTTCGGGACATTCTGGAGACACTTAGCTTGTAGTCAACATTTTGGAGCATTTACAAGGCGAAATCCTGATAAAACCGTAATCACACTAAAGGTAAATCCAAAAATCTTGATCAACATCATAGTTTTGGTGAACTACTTGGGTGTCAGTTTACGAAGGTGTAATTGAAAAAGAAGAAAAATAAATGTGTCACAAACAAGACAAGTTTTGGTGGAGGCAAAGAGATAGACTTCATACTGTCAAGACTCCTTATTGTTAACCATACCCTTGATCCTGGGCGTAATACAAGCAGCTTCGAATGTAGTTGCTCTTGCAGCTCGGGGGAAATCCCGGAATCAGTACCAAAATGACGTCGAGGTTACTCTAGAATCAACTCTAGAAAGGTA